TGCATTGTTCAGATTTAGGAGTGGTTTTTTTTTTCCCTATCTATGAGCATGAATAAAGTTATTCCTGATTTTGTAAAGTCTGAAGAAAGATGATAGTATAATATTGAATTTCAGCAGAATTCAGTGAATTTCAGCTAATATAGAATCAAGCAAATCCTCAGGCCACACATGGAAATCATCTGAACTTTATAGGTGCTTTGACTCTTTTTTTGAAAAATCTGCCCTACTCTCCTCTAAGTCCTCTAGATCCCTACAAATGTTCTGCTTATACTTGAATTTACACTTGGAGACATTTTCATTATCTAAATAAAAATTTTGCTCAAGGAAATTCGCAGTCATTTAAAACAAAGTCATTCTCCGATGTTATAGTTTGGATTTCAAGGCCAGTCTTCTCCGAGTTTGGGATGATTAAAAAGTTGATTTTTCCTATGTGTTTTAAAACACCAAGTCAGTTTCCTATGATCTGAAACATTTAGTCTATTTATAAGATTTTCAGTGGTTCCAAAATGAATATCTCATTATTAGAGAGAAAGTGACTCTTGGTTATTTGATTTTTGTACAATGCCGTATGTTTAAGCAGCTTAATTAAAAATGTTGATGATCATCTCAAGCAAAGTCCAAGTGCAAAGTGTACTTTTCAGCTATTGTTGATAATATCCACTTAACATGAAAGTCATTTTACTACCATCAGGTGGCCAAGGAAAAGAGTTAAGAAACATACTGTGTTTTGTATAATTAATCACAGCAAGCATATGTTTGCAAAATTTCGTATTTTTAAAGTAAATGCTGGCTTCACCGTCGCCACCATGGAGATATCACCCTTGAAAACTCCAGACAATAATGCCCTTGATGTTAACAGCCTCTATTTTTTATTCTACAAAGGGAAACAAATTTATTACAGAAAATGGGGGGAAAAAGAAAATTGTAAAGAAGAAAATAAAAATCATCCACAATCCTTTCACTCAGAAATACAATATGAATATCATTTGTCTTTCCAAATGTACAGAACTGCAGAAAGTTTCTCATTCATTGGAGATTGTGCTTTGTATTCAGTTACCTGTGTCTCAGAACTGTGTGTGTGTATGTGTGTATATGTGTGTGTGTGTGTGTTTCCATTGTGATAATGCTTCATGATCAATTTAGTCATTTTCGCGTTGGTGGATGTGTCTTATAAAGCCAAATATATCTAATCATAATATTTTCAAAGGGATCTCTTGTTAAGCAGGTGTCTGCATACCTAGCAAAACGTATAAAATAAAATCCATAAATCATATACACAGTGGAGTATGAGGGGTGCTTAAAGAACAATAACAGTTAAACCCTTTTTGGGATAATACGACTTTTGTTTTATAACATTTAAAATTATCTAAGTAATCCTATAGCCGTCAGTTAGCAGTGTGCTATAATCCAGTGCTATTCCTCTTTCCTACTGAATAAGCTATTCTTTTACCTCTTTTTCTCTAGCTTTTTCTCTCTTTTTTGCATACTGCCAACAAGAGCTATCACCTAACAAGAGAAAAAAAATCTGTAGACTGTGAACATCCACAAATAATATGTGAAAAATTTTAAAATGTAGACCAGATACCAATTTAAGTCCCATAAAATTCGGAACTCAGCCTGTTAAATTGTGTCCACACAGCATAGAACACACAACATGAAATTAGAAGTTGCGGAAGATACGCTGCCGCCAATCTCTTCCGTGTTCCCACTTCGTAACTTGTCCTTCATGCATGAGAAAAGTTTGTTGTGTGGCTCTGAAGCTCTGTAGGGTGCTGATCCCTTTGGGCACGTTAGGTAGGTCCAGGCTGCAGATCCCCAAACCTCAGCATCACCAAGCCACACATGTTTCTCTCATCCATACTAAATGCTCGTCCTGAGTGAGATTCCACTTCACTCTAGCGTCCAGACTGAGGAGGCAGTCACTCTCTGGTCTCAAGGCAGACAGGAAAGAGAAAAGCAAACCATGATCCTCAGTGTTTTCTTTTTTGTTTCTTTCAATGGCCACATTAAAACCGCCTGTTTCCTTTTGTCATGTATGTCATTGATTGAAGCCAGTCTGACGAGGAGACCTGGTATCCACAGATGCCAATAAGAAGGGGAAGTGTATCTTCCTGCAAATAGGGCTCTTGAGTCTCAGAGCCAAGCCTAAGGCCTGAGGTAGGCAGAGAAGCCTGGGGAATTAGTGAGAGCCAGTTTGAATCCGCATCACTTGCTGAATCCATATCACAATCCTCTCGCTTGTTGGTACCTCAGCCCCCTTCAGTGGTGCTCATAAGAGCATCTTAGCATTTTTCAATTATAGTAAAGTACATGGAAGGTTAAAAACCATCCTAGCCATTGTTAAATAAATAGTTAAAAAGTGCTGAGTACACTCACCATGTGTGCAACACATCAGTGGTCAGAGCTTCTTCATCCTGCAGAAGTGAAGCTCTGACCATTTAACAATTCCCCGTTTCCCCTCTGTCTGCCTCTGGCCAGCCCCTTTTCTAACTCCATCTCAACAAGTTCACTGCTCTAAATAAAGAAGGTGAGTCATGCAGTAATGTCCTCAAGTTCATCCATATTATATGAATCAGAATTTCCCCGCTTTTTAAGGCTGAATGATATCCCATTATATGTATTTGTTTAATTTGAATTGATTTTCTTCCCTTTCTTTATTTATACTTCTAGTTGAATAGTCAGGTATTCTACTACTAAGCTACATCTCTAGCCATTTTTTTTATTTTAATCTTGAGACAAGATCTTCCTAAATTGCCCATGTGGCCTCAAACTTGTGATCCTCCTGCCTCAGCCTCCCCAGTAGGTGAGATTACAAGTGTGCACCACTATGTCCAGCTTGCAACCACCTTTTGACTACTGGGAATAATGCTTCTGTGAACATAAGTATACAATATCCTTACATAATGTACAGTAGCTCTATGGGTCTAGATGACCCATTACAGAAATGAGCATGATTACAATGCAATGTATTAAGCATTAAATAAATTATATAAAACCATATTCTGTAATGCTTAATACATTATAGATGTCTACCAAGAAATTACTAACAATAATAGAATTTTAAATATGGAAGAAAGCTTGTCTAATCAGAATTTCCCAAATAGCCTTATTCTTATCAGAGATACTAAAAGAGATTATCTTAAGGTGGTCCACGTTTTTGAAATTTTAAAAATTTTACATGGAGCAGTTTGCTCCATTTGTTTTAAAGAATGGCAAAAACATAACTAACATATCAGTCTTATTATCATGTGAATATTATTGTTGAGGATGAGTTTAAAATAGATGTTTACATTTTTTAAAACTCAGGTCAACTTTTTTAAAACAGCGAAAACGACAGAAGTTGTGCATGACTTCCTGGTGCTCAGAGCCACACTGATAGGATTCAGTAACAGCAGTCGGACTCAAAAGCTTTTATATTGTGCTTTCTTTTCTTTTTCCTCCTCTTTTCCTTTAGTCATTTCAAAAGAAAAGTCACTTTTCTTTTTCATCCAACTCGTCTATTTTGGGACTCACACAAGATAAACCCCAACTCGCAATCATTTCTTCTGCAAGGCTACTATTGGGACAGGTGGTTCAGCCCAGATGACTCAAGCTCTGTGTAAGCTCCTAGCACACACCTTTGGTAGGACAAACTGTGCTTGGATACCTTATCTGAGCTGCATCAAATCAAGCCTGTCCTTTTACACTGGCAACAGGGAATTGCAGACTGGGGGACAGTGTTCTAACAACTGTGTGCTTTCTTATTTCTAGGACTGAGCAACCAGAACATGCTTATTAGGATTTTGACACTAAGCCGTTGCCTTTATACAGTATTTTTGTTGTTATCACAGTATTGCAGCTTGGACAATTTTAGCTGACCTAAACGCACAGTTAGTATTAAATCAAAAAAAAAAAAAATTGAAAGCAACAAAGAATAATGCTAAAGAAGAGACAATCAACAGAAGCATCCATAAGGGATGTAATCTTATTTGGTGCTATTAGTCACGTAAATGTATCTATGAGTTCTTCCCATCTGTAAGTCCAGCTGTATGTCCCTCATGGCAAGGAGTCAATGATGTTTAGGAATTTCTCTACTGAGGCAAGCTTATAGATCACTTTCCCATTACAAATTAGGTTAGCCAAATCGCATTCGGCGGTTAAATCCACAAGTACAACGTATTTGAGCACTGTTGGGAGGCAACTGGGGCGCTGTTGACAGAGGAGTCCAATATTTGTTGTTTCAGGATTGACAATAAACTGGGTCACCCTGTTGCATCTGCATAGCTGTTGACAACGCTATCGACCCTTCCCCCACCCGCATGAGTTTCCTGTCTGGAGTTCCTGAGAGGGAATTAAACCAAGAATCCAACTTTCTAAACCTCAGAGAGTTTCATTAGGTCTCTAATGGAATTCTCATTAACTTTTTAGTGCTTTGCCTTATTTTTCTTAAAAATTGATTTACACTCGGAAAGGGAGGACTTTAAAATATAGAAGCTCGGTTGCAATTTTTCATGTGTGTAGCTATTACTTAGCGAGAATAAATCTAAGTAATCCTTGTTTTTGATTGCTTCCCATTTTCCCCATCTCATCATACAAGGCTAGCTTAAAAATCATCCACACTTCATTTCGTGCGACTTTAATCTGCTGTCTGGCGATTTCTCTCAGCCTGCTGTGTCAAAACAAGTTACACCGCCCGCCTCCCTGGGCGCTTCGGCACGTGTCCCTCTAGCGGTGGATGAAGGAATTTACTGCTCTCCAGCACCAAGGACGCCGCAAATGCATGTGAAGCGTCCTAAATAGAGGATGAATATGATAAAATGAACTTTCGCACAATTTAATTGAAATGCCCTATAAAAATAAATTTGGCTACTCTGATTTTCTTCCTAATTGCATGTGCAAACCATGCATTACCAAGAGAGTGATCTACACTCACTAGCCTCCTGTGACAGTCATTTATCTGCTCTGCTGAAAATACTACTCTGTGCTCAAATCAGTTTTAATTTCTCATTTTGCATCTCAAGCTCCCAGCCAGCCTCCGGGAAACGTTGTCTGGAACGCGACGGACACTAAGGTGTTACTTAACTGGGAACAAGTGAGAGCAATGGAGAATGAATCCGAAGTCACAGGATATAAGGTAAGTTGAGTGATTCCCCACTTCGCGAAACTCCCAGGCAGGCGAGGTGGAAACGATGTTTGTAAAATCTTGTTGATATGGTTTCTAGAGTCTGATTGTGACTTAGGTATCAAGATTTCATGCGAAAAGGGTATTTTTCCTAAATATCTCACTTGTGAAATGTAAACTTCCACGAACCAATTCTGCTTATGTGGGAATTTTGGACACAGTTTTTGTACATTGTGTTAATGAGTTTTCTACTTCTGACACTCGTTATAGATTATTTAAGCACAACTGAAAGTACTGGCTCTGATTCCTTGATTAAGCACTTAAGGCGCACACAGCAGGGCCCTGTCCTGCCTCTTCTGCCCCAATACCGAACCCAGCTGAGCTCCTCCATGAAAGATCATTCTTCCCCCCACTTCCTTGATTTGCAGAACCTGATGCTTCTCCTGTGGGCTCACCTGTAATCAAAGACCTACCGACTGAGCAGGGAATACATTTTATATTCTAGTGGGTGCAGAGAAACAAAATAGCTTTACAGTGACAAGAGAAGCTGTTGTGAAGACAATAAAAGCAGGCAACATAAAAACTGTTTTTGTGCGTTTTAGGTTTTCTATAGGACTAGCAGTCAAAACACTGTACAAGTGTTGAGTACAAATAGAACTTCAGCAGAACTTTTGCTGCCTCTGAAGGAAGACTACATTATTGAAGTCAAGGCCACGACAGACGGAGGGGATGGCACCAGTAGCGAACAGATCAGGATTCCGAGAATTACCAGTAAGTTGGTGGAGCTCAGTTGTCCCTTTGCTTCCATCAGGGTTGCTGAGCCCTAGTGGTGAGTCCTCGGCACCCCCTGCCTATTTGCTTCCAGCACACACGGCTTTCAGGCCAAGGCTGAGAAGGTTTTGCAACATCCGTGCGCGATGAGAGCAGAAGGAAAACCTCAGGAGAGGTGCAGAACAGGCAGAAAGATGAGGACTGGAAGAAAAGACATTGCAAAACATTTAGCAGATTTTTATTGATTAGAACTGTTTTCCTCATTCTGAGCTATGCTTAAACTAGCCTTTGGGTAGCCCATGCAAACAGAATTCCAAGCTTTTCTCAAGAGCAACGTTGAACCCAGGCACTAATTTTTAAGATGTTTACTATTCTAGTAGTTCGCCTCTTACACGTTATAAATAAATATTACCATTTCTTTCAATAGAAAAATTAACATATGCCATTTATGTGCATCAACCCACAAGTTACCTGTTTCAGAAAAATCTACTTCTTTCCAAAGAGGTTCATCAAAGGTTTTTTCCTTCAAAATTGAAATGAAACCTATTTTACTATAAAAGTTGCACTGGCAGAGTGAAGGGAAACAGACTTCAGCATATATATTTTATCCGTGATGGTGGTACAGGAACATTTCATCTTCCCTTTTAAACCCCGTGTCTGGAGTCTTAGCACTGCAGAGCTCTTCTTGTCTTCAGTCTCTGTTTTATACTGACGGGAATAACTTCATTTCTTTTTTCCATTTATTAGCTCGGGCTTCCTGTACAATGCAGGGAACAGTTGAAGTGATTGTCTTAAATTTTAGAAAAGAAAATGGCTGACACTGATAACTGACAAGAAAGGGAAATAGGAAAACTTGGAGAAATTTTACCCTCCTGTGAAATCATAGTCTGCCATCCTTAGACAAAACAAAGTTCTAAGAAAATTGGAGCTACTTATCTTGGAACTGAGTTGAGTTCTGCAAGTTACAAGTCTATGCAAATCATTCCACACTGTAAGCACTTGTAAGACTGTATGTACTCATAGAACAAAGCAGGGATAAAAGTATGTTTATTATTAATTTAAGTTTGAAAATAATTAGTACACACTTACTGTTCCCTGAATAACGCAAGGTACAGAGTTCACATGACCAGACCGACAAAGCCATCCTGTTCAGAGTTTGTCTGCTTTTGCAGGGGCAGGCACTATTAGCACTCGGGGCTGCTGAGTCAAGAGCAGCCTTTTCGTCTGACATCTGCTGTCTTGCTGAGTTTGCAGACTGGGAACTGCACAGGGCTGTTTCTGAAAATGGTTTTATTTTATGGATTGCTTTTTAAAAGATGCTATTTTATTTTGTATCATGCGTAATAATTTATCTGCATGAAATAGAAACAAGCAGATTTTCCAACCCCTTGTCCCATGAAGCTTTAATTAAACCATTGAATTACCCCACAGTTGTTTGGGATCAAGTATAATTATTTTTTAAATGATTAAGTTGTTTTTGCAATTTCAATTAAAGTTAAGCAACACTAGATGAACAGAGCTTCTAATGTTTGAGAACACTTAAAACACATCAGTGTTTTTATACTCGACAATAAGCACATGCCTTGTTGATGCATAAAATAAAGACTAACATGATCCCAGCTTAGATTCATGCCATAATATGATTTCTTTTCACTTCTAGGAGAGCCATTGCTTTTATCTTACATCTTTTTTTTATTTCAAAGATAAAAGAACCAAAACATATTAACAAACAAATACACACAAACAAAATAACACCAGAACAATAGAAGCAATGCAGAATTTCAGACAAGGTGATAGGAAATTAACAGTGTTTGTTGTATTACATATTGTTATCTTCAAATTGGTTACTCAGTTAAACAAGTGTAGGCTTAATCTGTTTAGACTGCTCTAACAAAATCATAGACAGGATGTCTTACAACTGAGAAATCCAAGATCAAGGTGCCAGCTAACTCAGTGTCCGTTCTCAAGGGCCCCAGCTCCTAACACCATCACATTGAGGGATTGGATTTTTAACATATGATTTTGGAGGGAACACAAACAGTCTCTATCACCCTGATTGCATATTGGCATGATCTTTATTAATGAGCTTTTTATCATCTTTGACAGATATGGATGCAAGAGGATCCACTTCACCCATCTCGAATGTCCACCCTCTGTCAAGTTACATACCCATGATACTGTTCTTTATTGTAAATGCCCTGTGGTGATGTTTATTCTTTTTTTTTATTATTTGCTGGAATTGGTTACCAAAAAAGTGCTTTCATGAAATAGTGATTGTGCATGTTTTTTTTCAACTCTGTTTCTAACTTTCTACTTCGTTATAGGTAATATATGAATAAAATAAAAAACAGTTAATCCTTTTAGAGGAATCTGAAATGCCTTAATATTTACTTGATAAGCCAAAGGAATTTGCATATTACATACTGCAGACTTTTGATATAAATGTTCTTAAACTATGAGTTTATGACAAAGACACACATGCCACATAGCCACACACACACACTTGTTTTAACATTGAAATGCTCTTCATTTAATCCAAATGCTCCTTTCCCAGTATCATAACATTATTTACAAGACTTAAGATAATTTTAAAATGGTGATTTAAATCCCCAAGGGTAAAAAGATACATTTAAACAATTATCCTGTTAGAAGGGGAGGGCATGTGTTGCTGGAAAATGCTTTTTTGGGAGCGTAGGAGGGTATGGTTTCGCTAGTGTGGTACTAAATTATTGTGAGAATTTAGATATCCCTTTGCTATCTGTACCTCTCAGTCATTCATCCAGAAAGTGCAGTGATAATAATACACATCTGATCTGCCTGTGCCCCATGAATTAGTTGTTAAAAGTTAAAGAAGGAAATGTGAAAGTGCTTGGTCACTCCAGATGCCATGTCCCTGTGCAAAGTGTTGCATGGATTTCCTTAAGCATATAAGATCGGTGAAGACCAGCTCCATCCCACATTCCAAACAGTCCTCTCTGCTTCATTCGTTAATGGAGAACTGAAGTGAACATGTTTTGTCCTTTTTCATATTTTACAACATAATTTTAAAAAGACTTATTTTCTTCACACCTAAGAATAAGCTTTCAGGCTTTAATAAAACCCAGTTGAGAAAATGAGGAGTGATCTAAATCTCAACCCAAATATTAAAAAAAATTCACACAGTTCTTTATTTCTGATTTTTTTATTCCATTAAAGGATCTTCTCTTCTTTGGATGGTGGAGATGGCTTTTTTAATGAAATCCTACTGTCTGTCTCGCGACTCAGGCAAGCTTTTAAGTGTCTGAGTTAAACTTGTCATAGAACATGATGATGATGCTGACTTTTATATGTATGATTCAGTCTTTCAATATGTCGTTTTCAGAGGATGATTGAAGACTTACTAGCAATAAGTAAAGAGTATACAAAAATTGGCAGATAGAGTGTTAGACATTCACAATCAATTTTTTTACCTCTTTCCTACCAATTTCACATTTCCCAGGAACTTGTTTATGTTTTCAAAGCTAGCCAAACTTGAAACCAACAGTTCAACTCTAAGGAAAGATTAAAAATTAGCAAAAGTTTGATGTCTCCATAAAGTACCACTTTTACATTTAGAGATTCTGTTCAAGATAAAGTCATGATATTCACAAAAAAAAATAACTGTCTCATAAGGTCTGTATATACTGTATATAAATAGAAAAAATCTGAATGACCAGTAGATTTCATATGACCATTGTTATTTCTAGTGAAAAAGTGGGGAAACACTTTATCTAATACTTGTATTTTATGCTACATGTAACGGAGCTGTACCTTTTTATTAACTAGTAATTCCTATAATATGTTCCTACATTTCATTTTCAAGATGATTACTTTCTGGTTTCATGTTATTTCTAGCAATATATCTCCATGAGATACAGAAATTTTTTCATATTGAAAAGCATACAATTTATCTTTAAATTTCTGTGTGTGTATCCTATGGTTATCTGTATGTATTATTTTCTATTCTAATAAAATTTATAACAATCAAACGCTCTTGCATTATTAATTTAGCATTGGTCAAAGGAAAACATCTACAGGAAAAATAGGAGACATATAATAGTCATACTGAAGCTATCATTTCTTGTATCTTTTGGTCTTCTAAGAAGCTATTTTAGAATTATTTTCAGACCCCACTGGCTCAATGAAGTCAACAATTTGAGAGAATGACCACTATGTAAAAGACAGTCTATCTCTGAGGGGGAGAGGAATTCATCTTAGAGAATTATGATATCCAATTGATTCTGATTTTACTTGGTTTCAAGTGGATACACATTTAACATCTTTTCCTCTCAAAGTATATTCATTTTATTACCTCCTTCATAGACTTTCTCCTTGGTATGAGTTTAGAGATTTACTTTTAATGATCTTTGTGGTATAACATATCCTAGATGTTTGAAAATTATACTAGAGAAATATTCATTTTTTAAATACTAAGGAAGTTTAAATGTTATCATTGGTGTAAGGCAAATGAAAGCTAAATATTTAAGTATTGTTCCTCATTGGAATTAGATTTGTGTAGAGGAAGAGAACTAAGTGGGGAAAGTACATGGAGGAATTGTTGTGGGTAGGGGAGAAAGTTGTATTATTTTCAATCGAAGGCAGTTGTGATGGATGCATTAGTAAACCCTAGTGAGGGTGAAAGACCTGGAGACTACCCAAAAACAGGTTATGTCACCAAACAGCCCTAATGGTCAAGACCGATAGAAATGGCAGAAATGGGTCCGCTCTGCGTCCCTCTTCATCCTAACAGCACCTTCACCAGTTGGGTCAGGTGATCTTGCTCAAGTTCCATTAGTCCTCTAAGCGTCAGTTCCCCTTTAGGCGGGCAAAACAGGGAGCACAGAAGTAATCCTTATGGGGCTGTAAGATCTTCCATGAATACATGAAGGGGTACATGTGAACAGAAGTTATCAGTTCTGCCCATTCAAGGGCCAGGAGCTTGTAAGTAAAATGCGTGTGAGTCTTGGAGCCATGCTCTGCCCATCACTCTTCTAATCAACAGGAAATAACACTGGAAGACAGAAGATATCCTTCTTAAGGTGGTTTTACTTTAATATTCATACAGCTGTCCTTCAATTTCATTTTACTAATTTTACTATTGATATAGGAGAAAATATAACTCACAGCGGGCTAGATGTCGGATGCACCAAGCTTGTGCCCCCTAAAATTGAAGAATGAATTTTAAGGAACAGAGGTTAAGAGTAGGAAAGACTTATTGAGAGATAGCTCCTGAGAGATAGGAGAGGACCCAAATGTACGGTGTCACCAAGGTAATTTTTCTGTGAATATTTTACAGAGCAAAATCACATGACAGGGGTACAAAATCACAAGGTAAGTACAAAGTGGGTAAAACTAATCAACCAATAAGGTTACAAGTATAGCTGCTTAGCTAATGTTGATGCAGTAGGAGAGTAGGTCCCATACTAAGAGTACATGGGTAGAACAATGGCATTTTTGGGAAGGCATAGGTCCAGATGCTGTGGTCACTTACCTGGGTGGCTGATGTCTGGATTTAGTAGGCTGAGTGGTACCAAACAATATAATCACAAATGTCATTCATCCCTTAGGGAAGTATGCAAGTCTAACCATTATGATTTTAATCTTGAGGCCTCGTTTTCAGATGCATTTCCAGGCACAGTTTTGATGTCTGATCTTCTGGTTGCTTCCCTGCAGAGCTTAGCCCTGTCTGACTGCCAATTACTTTCTAGCTAATTTAGCTGTGTATAATACTATGACTCCAAGAATTCCTAGAAAATGAGGTAGAGCAATTCTGGGATCAGATTACTTTTTCATGGAAAGATAGGATTTATGATTTTAAATAGCATGTTTACTCTCTATATGCCAAACTCATTTAAATCTTGACTTTTGCTAAATTATCTCCTCTAATTCAATAGTTAGGTTTTAGTAAGCCCATTTTACAGACGAGGGAGCAGGCATAGGGAGATTAAATAAACTGCACAAGGTCATTCTATTAAAGGTATAGTAAAATGAGATCCAAGGCAGTTGTTTGGCTGCAAGCCTAAACTCTAAGCATGATTAGATTTTTGAAGTCCTTGAAATCAGAGCCATCAGATTTAGAGATTCTGAATAAGTATCTCCAGTATGAACTTATAATGTAGTTTGTTCTGCCTCTGTTATTGATCATAATTGAAATTAGGGAACCTTAATTAATTTTCATTTAAAATTTTTAATTATTTTAAATTTTTGCTTTTATTAGTATATATTTGTAGCACATCATAATTCCATTCATTGTGAGGAGTTAACAGAAAAACTATTTTAAGGTGGCTTGTGTTTATTTTTAATAATTTCACCATTTTGAATGGAAACCAAGCAGTATAATTCAGTAAGATAAAGAAAATGCAAAATAATTAGGGTTTCATAAATAGTTTTTTAATTAAAATCCCCCTTCCCACTACTCTTAGAACACCAACTTATTTATTTAAAATTAATCTTAATTTGGTTCTTTTTTTGAAGGTATTTTACTGTTTAGAAGTGAAAATTGCACTGATTCATTGCAATTTGGATTTATGTTAATAAATATTGTAGGTGAAAGCAACCCACAACAGCAATTAGGAAATCAGCAATTAGTAAATTATGCCATTCTTTTAAGAGAAAACATATAAAACCTTTGGAATATAGTTCATTTAAATTATTAGGTTTTTCTGCTGTTTTTATTTAAAGTCCATGCCCTAATTTAACATATCTCCCTTAATATGTAGGCAATAATTAACTTGAACTTTCATGGAGAATTAATCTTGGATAAAAGACTTAACTGTGAACAGAAATCATGCTTCTGTTACTTGTCTTCGTTTTCATTCCTTCCTCCTACTTTGGACACTGAAATTTACTTAAAGTCTGATAGTTCTACCTTGATCACTAATACTGTGGGAAAGAGAGAGCATTAGATCCTGTAAAATTAGATATTGCCTTTGAAAATTCAGAATAAAACAGATATGTGATTAGGTTGATGAGTGAATAGGTTCACTTTGGCATCAGACTGTTGAAAAACCCTGTGAAGAATACAAATCTGATGTAAATTGCGTGCCTAACCAGCTAATGAGAATGTGCAAGTCCACTTCAGCAGCATCTCCAAACCATCCTGGGAAGAATGGCCCTGCCTGAGGTGCAACATAAGGATTATGCAGCAAAAGTTTCTTTACTTCATTCTTACTGTCTGGCCTAGTCCCCTCATCTTACAGGGCTTCTCTGCATGCACTCAATACCTACTTGTTGGATTAAACCAATAAATTCTCATCATTTGCTCTAACTCTCTTCTATCCAATTTGTTTCATTTTTCTCTTGTGTGATGCCTCTAGAGTTTATAAATTATGATCATCAGGACAATATGAGATACTATAAAATATTTTTAAAAGAATTATGAACAGTAGACCATTTGTATGGAGAAAGTTAATAAATTTGCAAAGAAGACAGTACTGCCAAGTGGTTAGGAATATTTGTTTCCAAACATAGATCTGGTTGGAGTCCTATGTCCCCAAATAACTGTAGGGAAGCAGATTATTCCCTTGAAAAGAAAGAATCTTCAAACAAAGAATCTTCATCTCTGAAATAGCACCCATGGAAGAATCTGTCTGATAGGATTGTCATAGAAGTTACCTGGGCTAAATACAGGAGACTTTATCTTAGTTTGGTTAAGGAGTTCTTGACAGCATTATCTAGTAAGCCAACAATATGATTAGGCTTTAAATCCTGGGTCATTCTGTAAGAGTCAATCAGTAAATACCCAACATAACAGTGTCTAGCTCAAAGGATGATTCATTCATTCATCAAGAGTTTCAGAAGTAACACTGCAGGACGGAGATATAAGACAAGATGACTCCTCTCAGGGACCTTACCTCCTAGTGATAAAGCAAAGAAAAAGACTAGAAAAAATACAAGGAGAGAAGCTGTCTCAGAATATGTGCTTAAATGATTGGGAGGCTTAAGATCGTGTTTATAGAGCTTTCATCACAATTTTGGGCCCATGCAGAAAGCTTGGCTCCTACTGGCTGCAGTCCCCCATCTCTCAGAATAGCATCCAGATGGCCAGCATCCCATCCTGTCTCCAGGATGAAGGACAGCAACATTATTCAGAAGGATGCCCCTCAGAAAGATGTTAAATCAGAAACTAGGAGCTTTGAGAGTGCTTGTTTTTAAGTAAACAAAAACCTATGTATAAATTGAGGTCTTCCCCGTGAATGATAGTAATTGAGCTAAAACAAGAGTTTCTTGATCTGAGAGGGGTGGGTGAGGCCTCAGAGTAGTTCTGGACATTAGTCTGAAAAGCTTCGGGTGATGAGGAATTTTCAAGTCTTAACACAGAGGAGTTAGGCTGAGAAAAAATGATTGTGTCTTCTGAAATCATATGAGGAACACCAAATAGAGGCCTGCCTTGGGAATAGGGTCCTGCTTTTGTGTTTTACTTGGAGCATGTACCTTCCAACTGCCAGAACCAGTACCCACGAGTGACAGTAGGTCCTAAGGGGACTGGCATCTCCAAAACAGATCTCTCTAGCTGCTGCTACTGCATGAAAAACAGACATTTACTCCCATAAATTAAATGCACTTGCATCTACACAAACCTCTTGGAGAAGAGAAAGCCAGTCTTGCT